TGCCCTTGGATGCCTGTATGTATATTGTAAAGATTCGAAGAAAGTAGGTATATCAATGGATTTTTAAAAACGATATTCAAGAGACCAGCGAAGATTCCTGGCCCTCCTTTATTATTGGCTTACATGACATAAGACTAGAGGTTGCGCATCGGAGCAATGTTGTAGGTGCAAGATTATAGAAGAAGATTACGTACGCTTGGCAGAGATCTCATAGGTGGAAATAACACCATCGGTAAAGCACATGATATCGAAAGGGATTAGTATTCCATATGGTATCCCAGCGATAGTATTCTTGGCCTAGGTGTGAGGAGCGTTCTGCTCTTTAGTTGTTTCAACCTAAACTAAGAAGTTTTACTTTGGACACCGTTTTTGGCTTTCAACGCTTTGACAAACGCAAGAGTTCTTATCAGGCGGTAAGTACATAAACCAAAAAAATCGGGGGGAGGCTGTGGCATAAACATGCCCCACGTCATAACGCCGTTTCCATAATACTACGTCTACTTATGTGATTAGGAGTTCAGTAGCGTTCTGGTGTAAAGGAAGAAACAAAACAGACATATATAGGTATCGGTTTATATACATATGTATGTACAATATGTAAGTACTACAGATGCCAGAGTACGTAAAAAGGTAACTCTGCGTAAATATAATGAAAACTTGCGTACATCTTAACAAATTTTTCGTCATTTTGAGCCACGAAAGTTTTTGTTGATTGTACAAAACCGTTTTCGTACATAATACGAATATATGGGATCTTTAGTACATTTTACTAATTTATTCGTACTATTTACTAACGAATTTCGTACTATTTATAAAGAATCACATGCAATTTCTTTGTTTTTTACGTTTTTATAAAATGCACAAAAATGATAAGTATATTTAACGAAATTTTTTTCGTATAATCTGCGACTGCTTTCATTCTCCACACTGTAAAAATATAGAAATTATTGTAACACAACACTTTTATTTTGTTTTTATCAATAATTTTCCGTTTTGGCCGTAATTTTCATCCAATTAATTCGATTTTTAGACAGAAAAATACTTTTCCAATGATGTTCTTGGTTTTGAAATCGGTTCGGTAGAATCTCCAAACGAACGGAGACAAAATTTATGTTAGCCATACGAATTCCGCTCTGAAAGTATTCAACTCGGAACCCGCTGGTGGTAGCAGAGGAAGAGGGAGGCCCCCACTGCGATGGAAAGATCAGGTGGAGAAGGACTTGGCTTCACTTGGCGTTTCCAATTGGCGTCAGTTAGCACAGAGGAGAAACGCCTGGCGTGCTTTGCTGAACTCGGCCAAAATCGCTTAGGCGGTTACAGCGCCAAAAAAGAAGAAGAAGAAGATACGAATAGGTTCTATACTAAAAATTTTTTTATTGCTTAACCTTCATTCAATAAAGTATATTTACGCAAAGTGTTAAATTATGAAACTCAACAAAACTCGTATTAAATAAAATAAGATATAAAATATGAAAAGATATCAAAAATACTGGTTTTGCTTTCTTAAACACTAGACATTTTTATGTGGAGGTACTTGGGAGATTCGCCGCTTCTTTGATGTTTGTTTCGTTCACGACTATAAATTAAAGGGAAAATGATAAGGGGTCTAAAAGGCTTTTAATTTCGATAAGCGTTTGTTCCTGGCTTGGGCTTGCCGTTGATAGATAATTAATGAAATTTGCCTATCTATTAAGCCCTTATTTCAGCGCAAGGCTCAGCGTGTTAAAAACATTTATCCACAGCTTTAATATTTAATTTGTATATTGTACGAAAATATTCGTATGTTGTACGTATTTAGAAAATATGTTAATGCGTTAGTACCATGTACGGAAGTAGAAACGAATACAGAATTGTAGATTTCATACATTCATACGTACATATTACGAATGCCTTCCTACAATATTCAAAATTCTTCGTACAGAGATTTTTTCAGTAATTTACGAACGTGTTTCGTAAAATAAGCGTAAGATTTCGTAAATTGTACTGAAAAAATGCCCTACGAAAGTCCTTCCATTATATTTACGAATGGTTCGTAAAATCTTATTTCGTTGTGAAAAATGTGTCCGTGTTATGAGCGAAAGTTTAGTACATTGTACAAAAACCAAGTCTACGAAAGTTTTTCCTAGCAGTTTTACGAAATTTTATTTTCAGTGTAGTACGCACATGTGTACATGAGAGTGTACATAACGTTGAATGAACAATTTTGAAGTCGTGAATTCAAAAGTTTCCGCACGGGGTTTGGAAGTTAAAATAAGGATAAAATTTTTTAGAACGCTATTCGATAATTCCGGAGGATTGACCACCCATGACCACTACATGCTAAACAAGTAAGAAAGTCTAAGTTCGGGCGGAGCCGAACATTAAATACCCGGCGCAAGTATTAGATATATGTTTTCCTCCTTTCCGAAAGCTACCGCTACATGATAAGTATACATTTTAAGTAAATTAGCGTCCTTAAATTTCGAAATATTGAAATTTCAAGCATTTCTGAAATTTACCGTTATATGAAAAGCGGCCTCAATTTTAGTCCGATTTCAACAATTTTCAACGGTTTGCTTTTATGTGGCAAGCACAATAACCATACCGAGCTTGGTACAAATTGCTAGAACGGTTAGCGAGATACATATATGTGATCACAAGTGGGCGGTGCTACGCCCATTTTCCAAAATTTTGTCATAAACGTATTTCTTGGCCGTCTGTGCACACGATAACTCGAGTAAAAATTGAGATATCTTAACGAAACTTGGTACGTGAACTTCTTTTGGGCGTAGGACGGATGGTATTGAAAATGGGCGAAATCGGACAATAACC